TGAGCTCACTCCAAGGAAGATTAATAATTCTTTTGCTCTAAATTTCTTCCTAACTACCGTACTCAATGAAAATGACTTGACTTAAGAAGCAACTCTGTAGGAGAACTATATGACTTGTTTTGGATTCTCAACCCCGGTAGCTCTTATACTTATGACTAGCAAGATTGGGAAGATTCTTTTGAAGGACTACCTTGATGATTATGGACTCCTAGAGAACAGTTTAAATTATGAGATAAGCTATTTTGCGAGGGGTTTTAGTGACTTAGATTATTCTTTGCAGAAACGAGAAAATAAATGTTATATGGTTGTTTGTCTACCTTTTTTTTTATTTGTTATTTGTGATTCTTTAGATAATAAATTATACAATAAAAAATAGTTTTTTCCTATTCAAATTTCTTTTTTCATCCATTCAAAGATTTTAATTTGAAATCTCTAACGTAAAATTCAAACTTTTAATCACTAAGCAATCAAGGGTAGTTGCTTGTCGACTTTGATGATGGTAGAGATTAACGGTGGTGAGGAGTTGTTTTAGGGCAATGAGTGGGTGTTTCAGCTGGGAGATGTATGAGTGCATGGCAAAAAGATCTTCATCTTTCCATGTCACCGTGTACTCACTCTGGTGGCACTTATTTTCCTCCATTCTTTGTCATAAGCAGAAATGGACTCTTTGTATGCTACTGCTCCACTGTGGTCTCTCTCCCCCTGCTGAGTTTGGTTGCTTTTCCTCTATTTCACCAGTAAGAGGTCTTTCCTTGGAGGTGCTGTGTTGCTTTGCACAACTAGCTAGTCTCAACTCCTTGGTTCCTCTCTATGGTCCTGTATTTGAAGTGACTAAAGGTGAAGAAGAAGGTGAAGCAAATGATATGCTTTTCCAAACAAAGCCTACTATTAAGAGGATGTACAGCTTCTGGCAGGAGCTCCCCGTCCCTTTGTCTCTTTTTGGCAGGATTTTATCGAAATGTTTTGTGTTTTGTTTTTGTTCTTGTTTTGTTGAAGTGCTATTTTCCTTCTTTCGGTTTGTGTCCTTTCCGACCCAACAAATAAATACCAAACCATACGGATCAAAATAAATAAATAGAGATAAAAATTAAGATTTGTACTTTCCCTTTTATTTCTAGTTCTTACAGTGAGCTCATTCAAAGGAAAGTCAATAATTCTTTTGCTCTTAATTTCCTCCTAACTACTATACTCAATGGAAATGACTTGACTAATTAAGAAGCAACTCTGTAGGAGAACTATATGTCTTGTTTTGGATTCTCATTCCCGCTAGCTCTTATACTTATGACTAGCAAGATTGGGAAGATTGTTTTGAAGGACAACATTGATGATTATGGACTCCTAGAGAATAGTTTAAATTATGAGATTAGCTATTTTGCAAAGGGTTTTAGTGATTTAGATTGTTCTTTGCAGAAACAAGGAAATAAATGTAATATGGTTGCTTGTCTCTCTCTTTCTTCTTCTTTTTTTCGGATATGTCGAATAATAAATTATACAATAAAATTGAACAATGAGTTGTATAATAAATTATAGTTTTTTCTTTCCAAACTCCTTTCCACTCATCCAAATATTCAAATTTAAAATTTCTAACATGAAGATTTAAGCTTTTAACTATTAAATCATCCTTTAAAGATGGTTACTTGTCTACTTTGATGATGGCATGAGATTAATGGTGGCAAGGAGTTGTTTTACAGCAACGACACTACTAGAAAACCTAATATCACCAACCAAAAATCACCGACGTGGAAAGATTGGTTGGTTAAATGATTGCTTATCGACAAAGAACATGTATGTATGGTTAAAAATAGTAAAATGAAAATTAATTTATATTATTTAAATTTCAGAGGAGCATTTCGTCGGTAAATTCATCCAACACACACGTATTTTTTGTTTGTATTAATCCTGAATACCCACTCCGCTAGCTCCGGTAGCTTTTTGAGTGCAGTGAGCAAAGATTTTAAGGACCGATGAATCTCTGGTCGGTAACTATAAGATTCTGCAACAAAAATCTTGTCAGTGATATCACTCCGGTAGCCGACCAAACATATCCCATGACCAATGACCACAGTCCATTAATTCTTCAAGGATGGGATTTGCAGCCACTTTTGCCAACCCTTAAAAAAACCAATGGAGGAAATTCGGATAAAGCCAGAAGGGGTAGCCACACAAAAAATAAGAATCTTCTTAGCCACACAAAAATAAGGATCTTCTTTTCTCCAACCGTCAGCCTCTCTCCAGTTCCCCGACTTCAACCTCGTCACCATCTTTGCTGATCATCTCTCGGATCTCATCATCTTCACCAATCGTCACCAGACGGGCATAACCACAAGGAAAACAAAAAGGGGGTTTTGGAGAAGTGTTTTTTTTTAGGATGATTTTCGAGTCCCCCGACTTCGATCTCATCACCATCTTTGTCGATCATCTCTCGGAACTCATCATCTTCACCGATCGCCACCAAACGGCCATAGCCACTGGGAACAAAAAAGGGGCTTTGGGCACTGTTTTTTCTAGGACGATTTTTTTCAAAGATTTTTTTGAGAGTTTTTGGTTTGAGGCTTGCAATTAGACTTTTTTTGAGGTTTAGGCTTGCAATTAAATGCATATTCAAGTACTGTTAAAAAAAAAAAAAAAAACTTACCAGCGTGCATTTGTCGGTAAATGATGGTGGTAACCA